GGAGTTGCGATGTCCTTTGGTACTGGAAATGAAGAGAAACCAGCTAGTGCTGCTGCCCGAAGGGGTGGTGTTGCGATGTCTTTTGGTACTGATCTATTTGGGAGCAGAGAAGCTGGTTGGGGTAACGAGTTCGTGGAACGTGAGGAGGCTCTGGGAAGAAAGACTGTGATGAATGGAGGTGATGGTGAAAATGGATGGCGTCGTTCGGTTTCATATCGTTCTCCAAATGCTCAGCGATACACTCTTTTAGATAATGCTGGATTTGCCAAGGGTGGGCCTACCTCTGCTGCAGCAGTTGATGATGATGGAAGTCCCATGATCTTTGCAAGTACGGCACGACCTCATATGGATGGAAATAATGATCTTTTCTCTAATGTAAATACAGGAAATAGGGCCCCACAACAGAATGCTCGTGAGACTTTGGGCGCCCCTTGGCGAGCTTCCTCACCTGCTCCTGCATTTAATGAAGGCGGTAGAGTGAATCCTGTTTCTTCTAACACTTACCGCGCTGGAGGGCAAAGATCGGCAATGGCACGTGAGGATTCACCAGCTCCCGGCTTTGCGCCTCCCATATCTCGTTCACGACCCACAAGTGTGTTGGATCCTTTTAGAACTTACTCCACTCGCCTGAGTGCTCGACCAGGATTGGGGACACCCTATCAATCTACACGAGATGATACTCGTTTTAATCCACCACATACCGATCGCTGGCATAGTCATGATGTTAGTAATGATTTGTATCGTCCTGGTGCTACAGAGCCTCCAAGTGGGAGTTTTTGGCGACCCTCCTCTTTTGGGGCCCCATACGTACAAGGTGCATCTGATCCTCTTACTTCACCTGTTTCTAGTATGTCTCGTAGTGGTATCTTGGCCCATGAAGAAGTGAATTCATATCAGAGAAATAGAGTGGGAGGACCTTTTCCTGATCCATTTCAACGTTTTTCACAACGATCACCCTTTGAACGTAATAATACGGCTTCTCATACTTTGCATAGTGGAACAAGTATGAATCATACAAGTAATACTGTTGGATCTTTTGGTACTAGTAGTGGTAATAATTGGAATCGTTCAGCTGCTTTACCTAATAGAACTCCAAATCGTATTTTTGAAAGAATGGCTACTCTCTACGATAATGGTGCATCTCGACTTCCTATTATTGATGAATATGATTATCCACGAAGTGGTAGTCGAGTTCGTCCAAGAGGTGTACAAGCAATGGATGTAGCTTGGTCTCATGAATGGAATCCATCTCCTGCCATTAAACAAAGTAAAAATGGATTTTCTACTCTTTCTAGTAGACCAAATACTGAAGGTTCCACACTTAAATCACGTACAATGCTTCGTAGAAATACTACTACTACCACTACAAATAGTACTACTGCCCGTAGACTAGGACGTATTCCAATCAGTAGACCACCATTAGCTCCTGCATCTCGTACCCCACCTCTTTCTAGAGTTACTAGTACTACTACTACTACTACTGGATTACGTAGTACAGTTGCTCCTTCTTCTGTTAGAGGTCTTACTCTTCGGGAACGTGTTCTTTTACGTCAGCAACAACAACGCCGAGAAGCTAATCTAGAAGCATATAATACAAATTTACGTGAAAATTATTGTGTAGGAAATGATATAAAACGAGTTCGAATGGAACCTACTAAAAATCCCTTTACAAGTTCTACTTCTTCACTAGGAGCTTTGGATACGCCTGGTACATTAAATCAAATCCTTTCCAATGCGAATACACCGCCAGAAAATAATGCAGCTTTAATGGAAACTAATAAATTAGCAGAAGCTTCTATTAACTCTTATAAAGAACAGGTAGATCGTTTAAAATCTTTAACTTCACCATTTGTTGAAGCAGATGGTATAAACGTATCTTTTTGTCTTCGTGATTTGGCTAATTTATTTCTTCATTTACCTAAAGGATCACCTAAAGAGTACGATCTTATCAAAGCGGCATGGTTTGATGAAGGTGTTTCATATTTTGTTTCTTCCAAACCTACTATGTTTTGTGGTGGTTGGGAAAGTTATTTAAAACACTTAAATTTATACCAGCAACCTTTTTATTTACGAGAGAAGGCCTTTATTTGTGTACTTCGGGTTCCATATCAACCACAACTTCGTGTTTGTGTAGCTGTACATAATTTAGATGATTTTATTGCTATCTTACAGCAGAAACCGCTTGCAAAAATTATACAGACAAAGGAGGAAAAATGGATGCAGGAACGTTTGTATGGTACTGAAGCTCCGAATAATAATAATAGTAGTAGTAATAGTAATGATGATGATAATAATAGTAATAATCATCCAGAAAGCGCCAATACGGTTAAGAATGGATTTCTTCCACGTCTCTTTCAACGTTTGTATATAAAGAAAAAAGTTGGATCTACTGTAGAGGTAAAGAATGAGAACAAACACCGTAGTGGATGGTCTTCTATGCGGTGGAGTCAACGTTGGGCTTTATTGCGTCTTCAATTACAAGCCACTATACAGGGACGTGCATGGAAAGTATGCACAACACCACATTTAACAGATCCTACAATTCTACAGTCACGAATGTCATTCTTATCAAATCGTACCGCAACGTATGCGGCTTTACGGCATAAACTTAATACGATTGAAACATATTCGGCTACATTAGCAAAGAAACAACAAGAAGTAGATCTTGCGCAACGACAAGTACGTATGATAAAAGATCGTATCGGTAGTTTAAGTTCTATACAACTTGGATGTGATGCTGCTAAACCACCATGTGAACAAGAATTAAAGCAATCATTACAACAACAACAGCAGCAATCATTACATCAACAAGATGTAGGACTTTCAAGGGGAATAGGAACCTCTACCACAAGTAATAATAATCCTCTAGCTACAAAACCCAAACGTGTTCCTTTTCGTGTGGATCGTATCGGTAATGGAGCTGCCACTGCAACCCGCACCTTTCGGACCGCTTCTTCTCTTACACAATCAACAAATTCAACTACCCCAACAGCCGTAGAGAACTCTCTTGGTAAACAAGAGGAAATGCCGAAAATGGGTGGATCTACTATTGCCTCATATGCATCTTCTGTAAACATATCACGACCGCAAACTCCTAAACCAACACCACCCTTATCTTCTAATACTACAACGAATGGAGGAGGAGAAGAAGGAAGAGGAGGAGAAACCACCGCTGCTGGAGCACTTATTATTTCTCATAATAGTGAATATAATGTATTAGTTCAAGTAGCAGAACGTATTCGAGCACGAAAGAATTTTGCACGTGAAGTACTTCCACCTCCATTAATAACAGTATTAAAGTTTGTTTCATCTATTCAAGAAAATGATCAACAACAACGAGTGTTTAATGCGTGCCCAACGAGTTCATTATCAAATTCAGGAAAACTTATGAGTTCTGTTTTTGCTGGACCTCTTCCTACACCAACAGAAATTCATCGTCAAGAAGATTCTTTCGATATTACGGTATCTCATCTTCAACAGTTAATGCAATGGCAGTGGGAATATCATCAAAATAGTTATGAGGGATTACCATTACCAATTTTTCGCGGTACACTTGTGACTTCTACAGCAGCATACTTTGGAGTTAGCGTAGAAAGTAAAAATGGAGAAGGTGGATTAGGAATTAGTCCACTTTCACGTTCTCTTTTACTTTCTTTAACGAAATGGGGATGGATGGTTCCAGTAGATTATAAAGCATCTAGAAATGATGGTAATATTCACTTTCTTGAAAGGAATAATACATATTCTCTTTTTGGACTACAAATGACTTCTTTTAGTAGTGGGAAGTTATGGTTATGGATAGTGGTATTCACTGTCTGGCAAACGCAGGCATTATGGTTTATACTTGTTTACATTATATATAAATGTTTTTCAGCTGCATTTAAAAATGTATTTGGATATTCCACTCGCTGGCCTGCACCTTTGGACTCCGCTACTTCTATTGTCTATCGTCAATCAGAGGCGGCGGTGGAAGCGATGCTGGAGGACCGACAGTATTTTCGAACACAGTTGTTAGCCACACGTATTTTACAAGCTCAACATTATATTCAGAATGTGATGAGTCGAATGGAAATGTTATTACGTGGTCATTCCCCTCTTCTTTCATTTATTATTGGATTAGAAGTATTTACTATTTGGCTTCTTTTTATGGGATGTAACTTTATATTACAGTTTCTTCCACCTATGAGTATTCTTTTGGATCTTATGATGGGACCTTTCCTATCGGTGATGAAACCTTATACTAGCTTGTTGTTGAATATGCATTTAATAAAATGGTCTATTTCTCTTCTTCAACCTGGGAGTGGTAATGTAAATAGATTGGAATTTATTATTTTATTATATCTGTTGTGGCGATTAGTGTTGTGGTCACCTATGCGGTGGATGTGGCGTACAACGTGGGATATGTTTTTACATGATGATGCCCTTGTACGTCGACCACTGCTGTCTTTTTAATTAAAAAAAGAAAAGAAGAAGAAAGAAGAATAGAATTTTTTTTTTTTTTTTTTGGTGAGTTTAACCGATTTAGATGTTTTCCCTTTCACACAAATAGATGATGTGTGTGTGTGTGTATTCTCTATTTTTGGTAGGTTTGTAATGTATGGTTGTTTGTATGTATGCTCCTTTTTTTTTTTTTCTTATTGTATTGACGATTCAACATATCATGATTTTTATGTTTTCTTTCTTTCTTTTCTTTTTTTTTTTTTTCTTCTCATGTACATAAATTATCTCTTTAATAAGAAAGAAGAAGAAGAAGAATAAAAATAAAAATAAATGGAACACCCCCCTGTGCGTGGTGAGGAAGTAGATGAAAGATTAGAACCTGACAATAATGAGAATATAAACAGTGGCGATAGTGAAACTCCTAGTGTAATTGATGATGATGAACTCACAGCCCGAGAGAAACATCAGGCACTCATCGCCCTTCATGATGCTGTTTGGACTGTAAGTTCTGCAAAACACGGTAATGGCGTCACCTGTTTATTAGAAGCCTCTCATGATACTTATTGGCAATCAGATGGTGTACTTCCACATACAATATTAATTGAGTTTGCCCGTTTAACTCCTGTTGTTGCCGTTGCTCTTTATCTTGACTATGTGCAGGATGAGAGTTATACTCCTCGTAAACTACGTATACAGGCAGGGACACATAATGGTGATATCGCCGATGTTGCCCATGCCACCGTGGATGATCCGAAAGGTTGGGTTTTACTGAAAATGTATGTAGAGCCAGAGACATTAGAGCCATGGGACATCGGGATTATTCGTCCAGCTGGAGAAGAGCGAGGCGTGGATAATAATAATAATAATAGTCGTGGAATGTGGTCCACAACTGCCACTCGTGGGATTGGACGAGGTGTAGATGTTTCCTCTGCGGCTTCCCCACCGATGGTGAGTGGAGTGATGGATCATGATGATTATGCGGAGTTTATAGTGGATGCGGTGTGGTGTACACAACTGCGGATTGTACTGGAGGAGAATCGACAAAATGGACGTGATTGCCATGTGCGTGGAGTGCGGGTGTTGGGGCCTGTTCATCAGAGTGTGTTTACAACAGCCTCCTTTACACAGGATTTGATGCTCCGTTGATTATATATATATATATATATATATAGAGAGAGAGAGAGAGAGTATTATTGTTTGTATACATAGAAAGTAATATTTATTTATTTATTGATGTCTTTTCACAGACTTTTTACTTTATTCTGCAGGGAAATTCAAAATGCATTCATTCTTGGATTTTGAGTTTAGAGTAATATGAATGGGATTTCCTTTCACTGAACTGTTGAGTTTGTTCAAGTAGAAACAAGTGATTGCTTCACATCTGCGTTTTTTTTTTTATTATTTTTTTTCACAATTTCCTTTTTTATAACTATTACTATTATTGTTATTGTTACTATTTCTGTCGTTTAACCAATAATGGAAATCAACAGGAACAAATAGATTCATTTATATTTTTTATTTATTTATTTATTTATTTATTTTTCTTTCTCTCTCTTTCTCTCTATTATTATTATTACTATTATTATTTTCCTTCTTTCTCTGGCTTCCACAGCGTGTTAGGGAAGGGGATCACAAAAAGAAAAAAAAAAAAGAATTAAATTTAATAGACAACCCAAGAAAATAAAAGAAAGAAACAAAGAACGAACGAACGAACGAAAAGAAAAAGAAAAGAAAAACCCAAAACCAAATCAAAGAAGAAGTCTCCTTTCATTTCTCTCCCCTCTATACACACTCACACACAGTTACATACATACACTCAAGGGATATCATGTCCAACTGTGATACCCATTCCAATGAATATGAAGATGACTTTGAGGATGATGAACGGCAGACCGCCAGCAATCGCCGCTCGTACGAACCCTCCGAACTGTTGGCGTTTCTCCCCTCCACAACTTCCGTGAAGAGTGGAAAGGCCGATCATCACCGCAGCGATGCTCACGTCCCTTCACTCACCACACTCCCAAAGTATACCAATGGTTATAATAATAATAATAATAATAATAATGGGAATAATGTAAATGGGGGAAAGAAATTATTACAACCACAATTAATTGGAAATCCAACCACACGGAATGTCATCACACAAGCCTCCTCCTCCGGCTCACGTACAGATGATTTACAATTACTTCATGCCTCTAAAATTACATCCGTGGAATTAGAGTATGAGACGAGTCCAATGAAAAATGCACCTATTTGTACAGATACCGTAGAAGAGGAATTACCGCATGATACAATCTCCTCAGATGTTCATGATCCGTATGATGGAACGGGATTACCTTCACAACCACGACGATTTCGGGCCCCTTCATTATCTTCTTCCTCTTCTGCATCATCACACTCACGTTCACGTTCACACTCACACACATACTCATACACAACATCATCATCATCTTCTTCTTCACGATCATTATCAAGAGCATCATCGTCAAGATCATTTAAATCACCTTTGCCTTCTCCATATAAATGTTCCAGTTCATTGGGGGCAGAAGGACCTGTAAAAGAGGATGTATTTCGGAGTACACTAACACCAAGGACGAATGATTCTGGTAGTAAAGAAGAAAAGAAGAAGAAGAAGAAGGAAGAAGAAGAAGAAAATGAAACTACTGTAGATAGAAAAGAAGAAATAAGTAAGAGTCATACACCCCTCTCCACGTCTCTTCCAACTGGTGAAACCGTTAATATTGATGTGTGGAAAGAGGATGCACGAAAACGCAGAGAAGTTGTTTCTCCTAAAAGAGTTGAACAGAATATCCCTACAGCTGTCATCGTTACCCCCACACCTAAACCATCATCTTCATCAAGGATAAACTCTAGAGGATCAGGGAAAGTGAATCATACCCCCTTAGCAGCTGCAAGAGGTACAGGTAATCCAGTACATAGAAATAATAGACGTAGTAGTAGTAGTAGTATTAGTAGTACTACTGGAGGAGGAAGACGCACATCTGTTAGTAGTACATCCAGTCGTAAAGGTGAGAGAAATATAGTGGCCACACCTCGAACACAATTACTACGCCGGATTGCACAAACGAAAAGAGAAATTGCACACGTTCGTCAAAATATTCGAGCATTAGAAATGCCATCACGAAGTTCCGTGAGGAGTAGCAAATTAAGAAAGAACAAAGTTACACCAGAAGAAGTAGAAAAACTAGAGCGTGATAATGAACGTTTACAACGACTTGTACAAGCAAGAGAAGAAGGTATGTTAAATATTGAATTACTATTAAGTATAGCTGATGAAGAGTATAGGTATGCACAAGAGGAACTTAGACAAGTAAAACAACGTAAACGTGAACTTACATCTGAAGATAGACGTGCATCTATAATGTTTGCACAAATGGCAAAGAATCAACCAACTGCAGGGGAACAACGTGCTCGTCAGCAGAAGGAAGGAATGTATACTCGGGCTCATTTTAATACTAAAATTATGAAATTACAAGAAAAGATAGATTCTACAACTGAAACTTCATCCCATTTATCAGAGCGTATTGCATTATTAGAAGAACGTATAAAAGCAGAAGGATTATCCGATATAAAAGCAGAAGACTATACCGCCTTAAAGAAGACTATAAAAAAGAATGCGAATATGATTAAACGATATCTCGCCTCTCTTTCCCACGCAGGAGCCGGTTTTGATCTTGGATTAGGGAAAAACGGGGATGAACAGGAAAATGAAGGCGAAGAAGAGGATCTCACAAATGTGATGTTCCCTGGTAAAGCTCAAATGGAGGCGGAAATGCGTAAACTCATTCGCCAATTAGAACGGAAGGATGCACAAATAGCCACACATCGATCTTCCGTCGACGGCGGTGTTGTCGTCCATCGAGAAGGCGTCTCTACCGCCCCCGTAGACTCACGAGCATCCGCAATCACAATCACAACAACAACAACAACTTCCTCCTCTACTGCAGCTAAGAAAGATCCCTACGCGGGAAAGAAGAAAACCTCGAAAGAAATTAGACGCGTCTCTTCAGAAGTGCAATTACCCACAAAGGGGAATAATAGTATTCCCACTGTGAAGAATGAACCAAATATAGGTAGACAACAACAACGACAAAAGGAGCAAGAAGAGAAACAAAAGAATATTGAACCAAGCGTGAGATACAGTTCCGAATCAAAGCGAATAGTAGATACAAAATTAAACTCTTCTCTCAGTAAATTGGGCGAATCACCGCTTCGTGCGTCGCAAACAGAGTTTGAAGTTGTTACCAATCCTGATTCTCTCACTTCTCCTCTTGCCGTGGATGTCTCTGGGAGTCACAACTTTGAGGACGCCATTGAAAATATTAGGAAACGTCTAAAGACAACGGCTACTACGACTACAACTGCGAGTACCACTTCAAATCATGAAGATACTCCTTATACATCCATACATGAAGAAGCAGAAAAAGAAGAAAAAAAATCTCCAAGTAATAATAATAATAATAATAATAATAATAATAATAATAATAATAATAATAATAATAATAGTTTGGATGTAGGTGTAGTGGATAATCATTCTAGTAATGAAGTTCCCAAGTCAACACTCTCTTCAAATTGCCCTTCAAGTGAACCTAATAGACCAGTTTCTTATGAAACGGAAAAAGTCGTTCCGACGAGGGAAAAACATGGAAATGAAGTTATTGACGATACCGATAGTGTGCAAGATATAGTGGGTGATGTGAATGAAGAAGTTGATTCTGGTAGGAGTACTCCTCTTTGGTTGCGTGAGAATTAGTGAACTGTAGAGGTGATGAGGAAAAGAAGAAGAAGAAGAATAAGATAAAAAAAAAAAAAAGAAGAAGAAAGGAAAAAAAAATAATTATAATAATATAGAAAGTATAAGTAAGTCGTTTTTTTTTTTCTTTGTTTGTTTGTGTGTGTGTGTTTTGGCCTTCCCTGGCAAGGCATACTTTCCTTGTAGAGGAGTATTATACTTTCTAGACGTATATGTATTGAATAATCAACAAAACAGAAAAAAAAGAAATCACGAAATGACTCTCATTTCTCATTTGTTTTTTTTTTTCTTTTTTGTGCGGTTTATGGTTTTTAAGGGGCCCCCATTCCCCTTTGCCCCTCCAACGTATTTCAGTTCTCATGCCTGCATTTTCATCGTTATTATTATTATTATTATTATTATTATTATTATTGTTTTTTCATAAACACGACTCACTTACTTTAAGAAATAATAAAGGGGGGAAATATGAGAGGGGCCACATGTGTCTGTGTTCATGGAGAACAAAAAGGACGAGATGGATTTTTTTTTTTTTTTAATATTTCATCTCAGTGACTCTCTCTCTCTCTTTTTTTTAGAGATTCCTCATTTTTTCCTTCTTATTGTTTTGTTCTTTCTTTCTTTCTTTCTTTTCTGTCTCTCTGTGCTCCTTTGTATATGGCTGAATTGAGGAAACAGCTACGCTATGCAGAGAGAGAGAGAGTGAGTGAGTGAAGTTATGTTCATTTTATTCTTTGTTGTTGTTTTTCTGTCTGTGTGTATTCTTCCACGTTGCGGTGTGGGGGGATTTATGTATCTGAAATAAAATGATAAGAACTGCAATACCGAAGAAAGAGAGAGAGAGAGAGAGAATTCTCTTATTATTATTTAAAAGAAAGAAAAAAAAGAGCAAACAAAATAAATATAGAAATAAAAAAAATTATGTAAATCGAACCGTAATGTAAGAGTGTAAAGTTTGTAGACATTTTATGTATTACATACAATGGTGTACAGACACTAATATATATTTATATTTATATTTATATATATATATATGTTGTAAAAACGCCATCGGAAGAAAAGCAGAAGGACTAAAAGGCTTTAGTGATGATCTCACATCTCTATTACTCCTTCTGCTGCGACTGTGTATACTGGTCACCGCATGCATACAAAGAGATGGTTTAAATAGAGAAAGAGAGAGAGAGAAAGTAAAGAGAAATTAATAGAACTCTTTTTCTTCCCTTTATCCTCTACATGCCACTCTTTTGACCATTATGAGAAGATAGAGGAGTATGTCTTCTTAATTTTTCGTTGTTGTTATTGTTGTTGTTGTTTGCGTGTATTGTGGATGGAAACAAATGACCGGTTTTTTTTTTTTGCGTGATTTTTTTTTTTTTTTGCTTTCTCGCTGTTGATTATATTAAGTTTGTTTGTTTGTTTCTTTTTTACCTTCTTATTGCTTTATTACTCTATCTCTCGTACGATTGTTGTTGTTGTGTCCCCACAGATATATATATATATATGTATATCTTAAGAGCCCTATCCGATTAAAAAATTATTTTAAGGTAGGACTACTGAGATGGATGAATAGTGATGATGATGATGATGGTGGTGGAGTTATGTGAGCAGTATTATTTTATTTAATGACACTGAATTTTATATATATATATATATATATATATACAGAGTCAACTACACTCCTCTTTTTTCTATTTCACTTTCTCTCTGTATTTAATGTCCTCCTCTCGAGAGAAGAAACATGCGCCGTGGGTGGATGTAGTGGCCGGTGGCTTTGGCGGGGCTGTTGCGAAATCTCTGCTTTCACCCTTTCAACGTGTTGTCGTCATGCAGCAACTCGGCGAACACAAAGAGTACAGTACTCTTCAATTGGTGAAATATATTAAACAACAAGATGGTTGGAAAGGATTCTGGAGAGGAAACCTTACCTCTATGATTATTCGTGTACCATATTCCGGTATTCAGTTTGTTCTCTACAGTCAATTGAAGTTTTTCTTTCAAGATATTTGTGAACGTTATGTTCGTCCGAAAAAGAATATGGGAGATACTTCTTCTTCTTCTTATCACACAAGTGATAGATTAGAAGTGTTTATAATGAAATGCGGTGCTGGAGGAATCTCCGCAACGATTGCGGGTGCTGCGGTGTATCCTGGAGAAGTGGTACGATTACGGCTCATGTCTGGCGAACGTCGATTTAATGGTATTTTTAATACAATTCGTTGTATATATTCAGAGACAAACTCTTTACGTAATTTTTATCGTGGTTTAGGTGCCTCTCTTATGCAGCGAGTACCCGATATTCTTGTAAACTTTGCCACTTATGAAACCCTTAAGTATTCTCTACTCGAGTGGGATTTCCTCAATACACATCCATCCTATAAAAATATTATTTCCACTATAATTGGAGGATCTGCGGCGGCATTAGCCTCTATTCTTGTAGCCTTTCCATTGGATGTGGCCAAGAGACGCATTGGGATGTCTGGACAGAGTAAGAGTGGAGTGGTCTACACAGGCGTGCGGGATTGTTTGAGGAAAGTGTATGCGGAAGAGGGGATTCGCGGTTGGTATGCGGGGGCGCGAATGGAGGCGGTGCGGTGTGTGCCGCAAGTAGTGTTGATGTGGTTTTTCATTGAAGGCATTCAACAGGTGTTAACAGATAACTTTGTGAAACCCAAAGCCACAGAGGAGGAAATAACCGGGAAGAAATAAAGTATATTAAGAATAATAATAATAATAATAATAATAATAATAATAA